ATACTGACGACTAGCCTATTTATGAAAACCGCCATGAAAGTGAGGCATTCAGTGAATGAGATGTAGGCTCACCCGTTCCGTCCGCATGTTTTAGCGAAACACCCTCCGTTCTGGCTTGTGCGGGTGGTCCTATTCGGTTGCAGGCCCGGACGGTAAGATCCTAAGCTGGGGATATCGTATCCTGTTATTGTATATTACGCAGCTCATTATGGTCATCCCATTGCAAGCCGGGTTAAAGGGGTGGCTAAACTTTCCTTGGCGCCTCGGATTGGTTGAATTCACTCTGTAGTCAGGCAAGCGTTTGCGTGTATTACGTTTCCATATAGCGAGAGGTGAGGTGTTTCTCTGGGTGATCCACCATTCGCGTGGATTCTTACCACATCAAAGAATGCTACGGTTTCAAGCCAGCTCGAAAAACCCCCGTGGCATAAGGCAACTACCTTGTTGCGCATTAAAATAAATAAAAAGAATAAATAATTTTTTTCCTCTGCAGCTAATTGATTACTGTTCTGTGAGCAGGCATCGACAAACAAAATGGTGTACAGATGCACGAATTGACCTTTCACGGGAATATGCATTGTTCGGCCGACGCTGGCATGCCGTCCGAGACCTGGTTGCGGCAAGGATATTTCAGTAGGCTGAACTGACATGCGCACAGTGTCATGGATGTTTCACAGCGAAAAACGATATGGCTATCACATGGCCATGGTACGAGAGGATGGGAAAGCTGAGCATTCTGGGGGCGAGGGGTTTTTTGGAGCATTGGATTTACCACGGATCAAAGCAGAAGCCGTAGGTATAATATTAAAACTGAAATTTGACTGTATCAAAAAGTGTAACGCCTATCGATGGACTGGCCGTACGTTTTGTATGTTCACACAGTTTGGTTATGTTATGCCGTGTCCTTATAACTTGGATTAAGTCATGTAAAGTAGTTAGCGTATTGCAGCCCTGTCAACATTCACGAGGGAACCAATCGGCACTCAGCCGTTGACAATCATCATCATACCAACTTTGTTGTGGTGGATCGAATAAATCACTGCTAACTTAACAGCATTAACCCCTTCACTAGTTTGGTAAGCCAGAGAACCTTCGTTCGATTTCAGAATATGCAGCGTCGCCCTTAACTAGACTAGGGTGACTTGATATTTAGTAAACAATCACAAATACACATGAGTCTTCCCACAGTGCAATCTTACGCTACGCTTTCCTGACCGGGGGATGATAAATATTCTCTTACAGCCGTTAACACGCGTCTAATTTGCGGCCGCATATACGCGGGACAGTTTGGTTGTACTTCTGTTTCGTCAGTAGACTGGCCAACATACTTTCGCATAGCATATTCTGACCTCTACAAGTGTTAGTTGGCGGGCACACTGAAAGATTAACATTACCTCCGCGATCTTTAAGCAATGACTGGCTCACCAGTCGGTGTTTGCTTGTGCCATTGCTAGGAAGAGAGGGAGAACGGTTAAGTTCTCGCTTCAGATACGTCGGCTTACTCAGATAATCGACTACTTAATCGATTCGCCTGCTCCATTGATGTCTGATTATCGCTCTCGTAGGTATATTGGCCATTCAGTACTAATGGAACATGCGTGCGATAGGGTGTCCTCGATGGCGGTTAGCGGCCGAGCACGCTCATCGGTTGAATAGGTAGTGCAAAATCATTCTGGCTTTCGTAGATATTCCACGAGTGCTATAAACAGATACGTGAGAGAAGTACGCAACTAGGCCAGATGAGGACTTAGACTGTAGTGCGTTTCAGCTTGACGGTGAAGGTCGGATAGTGTAAAATCGCAATGAACGAAGTAGCCGTTCCGTGACTACAGATGAACATGGCTGTCTAGTTGTGCTTAATCTGATCCTGCTTAAATCCCAATGCTGCCCTTTTGTAAAACCAAAGATTCGTGGAAGCCCATTGGAAAGTCGAAGGCGAGATTTCTTCATTGGAGTAACTTGGTGTGGCTCGTTGGCGTCCCCACTTGCTGTCTGTGCGGCGTCCCCCTGTACTACTGCTTCGTTGGTGCGAGTTCACGTTAAGCACCTGCGCTGCCCATTATGGTGTGCGATAATGCACACCTGCATGGATAAACATCCGGGGCAGACGTATCCTGAACGCTTGCTTAGTTTGGGGATGTACTCAATGCACTACCGAAGGATAAGAGGGTACCTGATTCTCACTTATCGTATTTTGACAGGTAAGATCGACCCGGACTTGTCAGGACTATTTAGTCCCGCTACGTTACCTAATCTCCGCGGTCACCCACTTAAACTGCATAGACCACGGTCTGATAGGATTAGAACGGAAACTCCTCTGTCGCGCCGTTATAGATCGCTGGAATCCGCTTCCATATCACGTGGTTAGGGAACCTACGGTCAATGCTCTTGGGTGGCAACACCAAACCTTTCCTTTTTCCTAACTGACTCACCTTCACTTTTAAGTCCTTCGTTTAATGACTCAAATATCTTGGTATTCTACTTGCTTAGCCCTTTCCACTTTTTCTTGCCTTCTGCGTTTACTCTTTCTTGATTCACATAACCGGCCCAGCAGGGACTGCTAGGGCAGGATAGGCGGGTAACTATTGGTTGGACAAAGTGTGATGCGGTCTTTGTTTTAGGACCATCTGTATTACAAAGTCTGCCAACTCCTGGTTCAACGACCCGCTGAAGAAGGAACAATCACGGGCTGATACTATCGTTCCAGTCCCGTTTGAACTGTACTTGATATAGGGTGCAGGCGGACGCTAGTCAATCAAGCAGAGCATATGATCGATTGGTATTGAATAAGATGCGAGTGTGTACGCACACAGACAGGTATGTTGGGTGCAGCGTTTACGGATGACGGCCGAACATCAGTGGCAGCCCGAGGGAGACGCGTCCGGGCATGCAGATCCGATGGTCAGCTATAGAATCGGCGTCGTGACAAGAGAAGTCTAATGACTTGTTTCGCCCGTTGACTGCCAATGGCGTACAAAGATCAACAAAGACTCCAGTTAACTGCGGGTTTCATCTTGTGTATAACGTCGGGTGTACGCCGTAGAATAAAGTCAACACTCAGCCTACCCATCAAGTCCCAATCCTTTCTTGGCATCATTCTGTGAGAAAAGGTTCAGTAAAAAGCACTGAATTAATCATTTTCGGTTTTTAAGAGGAAACCTAAGTCAGTGCAACTGTGAGGAGAAGAGTATGGTATTACTTGCAGTTAGATAGGTAGAAAGGTACAGACCACTCCTGACACCCCTAGTTCTCAAACTTCGACGAGGTAACACCAGCAGTTGCGATTGTCGGATGAGAACAGCCATCGCGACAACTCTATTTGACGCTTCTTTGTCATCTACACCTGACGGCCACACACCGTTGCTTTGAGTCTTCGGATTAAATAGACAACTGGATAACAAAGTTAACCATTGCACTAACTTGCACACAAGAACTGCTAAGGCAGGATACGTAGGCATTAGTTGGTTGGACATAGTGTGCTGCCATCCTTGCTTTTGGTTCATCGATATTTCATAGTCTGCCAACTCGTGGTTCAATGACGCGCTGAAGAAGGAACCCTCAAGGAGTAATCCTATCGTTCCAGTCCTACTTAAACTTGAACATAGTGGGGTGTTTTACAGGGAAATTCAATTTTTAAATAACAAAAAGCCGCACTGACCAGATGACGTCACCACAATTCCGTCACCCTGTCGAGACCACAACCGAACTGCTCTGTCGCAGCAACCCAACCGTCTGGACTGGCTAAGTGCCCGAAGGAGGTGGTGACTGCCAGGTCGCGCTGCACACTGATAGTATCTTCCAATTTGAGGTACACTCCGTAAGTACAATGCATACACATCGCGCGGGTTGAAAGCGTTACTAACACACGAACATGCTAACTTGGCAAATCTTAGTGGATTGCAGTAGCTCAGACCGCTGTAATCTGGCCATCCGATTGGAGCGAAACTGCACTTGATTTCGCTTAGTGATCCAACGATCTGCGTAGTGGGTTTTCCAACAGCCGAAAATCTGTAACGCCCCATCCGTGACTGTTTGTAATAATAACTGCTTTTCCTCGATATTACACGAGACACCCGAGCAACTCCACCAACCGTCAGCTGGCGCAGTGGAAGTACATAACGACCGGCAGTTCTCATTCATAGGTCCCACGTTGAGAAACGTCGAACGTATAGCACTAAGCATCGTGATATCTGCGTCAACTCCAGTGATTCTAGCCAAGTCAGGGGGCGCCGAACTGCGTTTCCATAATCCTAACAAATCTTCACCTGCACCAATGGCCCTGTAGTGGCGCAAGTTAGCACTGCCCTATTAGGTCGGCTGCGACGCTACTGAGACTAGTCGATTAGGTTTCGGACCCGATAGATACACCTCCTAAATGTCTGGAAGAACCGAGGACCCTATTACAAGGCTGCATCCCAGGCGATTAAGAACATGGCAATCACTACATTGCTGGATGACGTCGAAGTACAAATTCAAAGCGCTATCCCTTCGGACAACCAAGAATGCGGCTATGGAGGATGTGAGTTAAGCTAGAAGCGCATGGGGCCAACACAGTTACAAGACATGCGGATTCACGATGAGGAGCGTACCCCTAGAACTTGTGGTCGCTCGTAATGCGCCACCGAAATGGTTCGGAAATCGTAGCTTGAGTACCTAGCACCGATTGAGTCCAGTGGAACGGATAGTGAAATGCCTGGACGAAATACCACCGCTTAATCGCGCAAAGGAAATGCCCATTGTGTATACTAACACTGCACGTTCTTTAGAGCCAAGAGGTGGTGACCGGCGTTAAACGAAGGGCAAATCATGCAGTACAACGGGAGTTAAAAACAGAACAGCTGAAGAAATGTGACTCGTTCTGAAACAGGATAAATCGTTTGCGGCGGCGAACAACGTATACTCAACTATAACATGCTAAGGGAAAACCATTTCCCAGGGTATAGACTGGTACACATTGCAACATCCGAAACCCGGTGTAAATCGTTTAAAGAATTCGAGCTAAGCGAAACCAATAATATTTTAATAGAAAACATGGGTTAATAATCTGCTTCATCGATATCATCGCCAACACTGTCGGCACCGACCTCTTCGTAGTCCTTTTCAAGGGCAGCCAGGTCTTCACGAGCTTCGGAAAATTCGCCTTCCTCCATTCCCTCGCCCACGTACCAGTGAACAAAGGCTCGCTTGGAGTACATCAAATCGAACTTGTGGTCAAGCCGGGCCCAAGCCTCAGATATTGCTGTCGTGTTGCTCAACATGCATAGGGCACGTTGCACTTTCGCCAAATCCCCTCCAGGAACAACGGTTGGGGGCTGGTAATTTAAGCCAACCTTGAAGCCCGTAGGGCACCAATCGACAAACTGTACGGATTTCTGTGTTTTGATGCGTGTGATAGCAGCATTGACGTCCTTGGGCACGACATCCCCTCGGTAAAGTAGACAGCAGGCCATGTACTTGCCGCGACGTGGGTCGCATTTGACCATTTGGTTGGCTGGCTCGAAACATGAGTTGGTTATCTCGACCACGTTGAGCTGTTCGTGGAATGCCTTCTCTGCCGAGATTACAGGGGCATAGGAAGACAATGGGAAGTGTATACGGGGATACGGAACTAAGTTCGTCTGAAATTCGTTTAGATCAACGTTGAGCGCACCCTGGAAACGAAGGGAAGCGGTGATGGAACTCACCACTTGACCAATGAGTCGATTGAGATTGCTGTATGTCGGACGGTCAATGGCTAGGTTGCGTCGACAGATGTCGTAGATGGCCTCGTTGTCAACCATGAAAGCGCAATCGGAATGTTCCAGGGTTGTGTGTGTGGTAAGGATGGAATTGTAAGGTTCGACAACGGCAGTGGAGATGTACGGTGCAGGGTAGACGGCGAATTCCAACTTGGCTTTTTTGCCGTAGTCGACAGAAAGACGTTCCATCAACAACGAGGTAAAACCGGAGCCTGTTCCACCACCAAAGGAGTGGAAAATTAGAAAACCCTGGAGGCCGGCGCACTGGTCCGCCAGTTTGCGTATCCGGTCCATGACTTGATCGATTACTTCTTTCCCGACGGTATAATGGCCGCGAGCGTAATTGTTTGCTGCATCTTCCTTCCCGCTAATGATCTGCTCTGGGTGAAATAGTTTACGATAAGTGCCGGTTCGGATCTCATCGACAACTGTTGGCTCTAAGTCCACAAATATCGCTCTTGGAACATGCCGACCAGATCCGGTGTCGTTGAAGAACGTGGTAAATGAGTCGTCTGATGCATCTACAGCGCGCTCCGAACCGAAGGTGCCTTCAGGAGAAATGCCATGTTCCAAGCAATAAAGCTCCCAACAAGCATTACCCATTTGGGTTCCGGCTTGTCCAACATGGAGGCTGATGCATTCGCGCTACAAATTAATCAGTTCAATCAACCAGGAAATAGACACCTACCATGTCGGAAACCGAAGTGACTGGTACCTGCGAAGCTCACAATGCCGCTTCGGAAACCGACAAACTGCTGGTTTTGCTTACTTCTCGTCCAATTGTCGCCTAGCTCTCTCAAGGACGGAACGTGTGCCAGTTCTTTCATTCGTCAACTCCTCTCAGGCGTTTGATTGGCTAAATTCGTGACTAATAGGAGAGGCGGTAGGACTTTGCGTTGCTTTGATTCGCGGACTTCAGATCCAACCCTCCTTAACTTGAGGTCTATGGTCTTGGCTGTTGTGCCCAAATCCTCTTGCACAGGCATTCCTGCATATGAAATAGCGTTCCGCAACAATTCATGCCACCTTTTATCAACTCGGAACGGAGGTTTCCACAACAATAAATTACGTGCCAGCTAAACAGACTAAACGATTATGTGAGGTCCATCACAGCCAGTTTCCAAACGATTGTTCACAAATCTACGAAAGCTTGCCGTTCGTTCGTTGAGTGGTAGAGCAGAAGGAAGCTCCATGTCAGCTTCTCTTCCCAGTCTTCCAAGGAGTGCACATGTGGTTGTTGTGGCGTCGCTCAGGATGAGGTAATATCAAACCTGCAGGATCCTGGAGTACTCAGCAGGTAGATGCCTGACAAACGTTTGCTCACTTCTGACTGCGGATTAACCATGCGTCCGGCAGTCGGTTACACTCATCAACGTCTGAACCGACTTTGAACCTCCTCGGTTTAAACAGTTCCCAGCTGTGACCTCGAGTCGAACTGCCAAGTCTTAGCCGAAAAGCTGTATCAGCTCCTCTCCCAATTCTCGTGAAGACGCCTACTATAGCTGTCTTCACGACGTCGGCGATAGTCTAAGGGGAAAAGGTTCATCCTCTGAAATCGGGCAGGATAGCGGAGTTCGCTTAGCCCAAGGACAAATTTCGAGTCTTGCCGCTGCATTTTCCGATCTGGTCACTTTCATGCTTCGATAGTGTGTCTATGGCTGGAAGTCCGAATTCAAGGATTGGACGGATATGGGAGATGAAGAAAAGTCTGAATTTTTGTGGCGTCGTTCTAGAGAACGATCTCCTTAGGATACCCCACATCCTGTTCGCCGCGGCAGTTTTCTTCAATGTGTCACGGTGGGTACCATTGTCTCCATGTCCTTTACCTGAGTGACGATCTTGACTAACTACCCTCCAATGTGATAAATGCCCAGTGGTTCCGCAACACCGATGGGAAGGACAGAGCATTTATCATGGTTGACCGGCAAACCCCACTTGATAGATCAGGCGTGCAGTAGATCTAGCGTTTCTTAGTAATCGGTTGGCGTCTTCGAGGATGGACACTTCCGCCCATAGCTTGAGGTCGTCTGCATAGATCGCGCAGTCCGTTTGTAGCATACTTGGTAGCTCATTGATATGGATCTTGAACAGTTCCGGTCCGAGGATGGAGCCTTGTGGAATACCACTGGATATAAGCACTGGGAGTGAGAGGGTATTGTTTACCTTGATGTTGTGTCCTCAGGGTTCAACTTCGCAGCTTCTAGATTGCGCCACGTGATTCAAAAGATAAACCGCCGGACGAGTAGTATATTGGCGAACACAGAGCAGCCGACGTGGGATGAAAACACACAGATACAGTTCACATCACGGATGTGTGCTCGGTTGATTTTATAGGTCTCAAAGAAACAAGGGACGTGTGAGTGGCGTGAAACAAGCGATAGTAACAAGTGTCCTGCAACACGGAAAAAACACTAGTCTGCTTGTAACTGAGACTGTTCTGATACCAGGCACACGGTTCCTTGTGGGAAATTGCGCAGTTACCTTCCCGAACAAGTCAATTTGTTTGGTTTCTTGTGCGCATTTGACTATGGTCTGTGTGAAATTCTGTTTTTCCATGCAAGTTACAAGATTTGGCCTGAATCAGTGGCGCCAAATTGACTTGATTCTCAGACAGCGCAATTTTCCTCGGAGCAGGCCGTTCGAGACGTAACACTTTACTTGCATGCTTCGATCTGGCAAGAAGTCAGTGATCCATTGTAGAACGTTCGCTGTTATGCCAATACCGCAGAGCTTATAGAGTAGTTGCTGATGAGTGACCCTATCAAAAGTTTTGTCAAAGTCGGTGAATATCACACCTAAAGTTTTTCCAGCGTTCACTGACAAGCAGGTTAGTTTTGCAGGAACCTCCCTTTCGGAAACCATGATGAGTAGACGAAGTGATGTTCAGATCTTCGCAGTGTCGATGGATGGCACGTTCAATGAGCTTTCCCATGATCTTGCAGGTGGCCGAAGTCAAGCAACTCGGCCGATAGTTCGCAGGATCCGGGCGGCTTCCACCCTTGTATTTGGGCATAACTATGCCCCTCTTCAGGTCGAGAGGTAGTCGACCAGCTTTAGGTCAGAGAGCTGAAATATTTGCCAAAGTGGGCGGTAATGAATTCTGTTACCCTCCTGAGAAATAGGGGGTGTAGTTCGTCTGGACCTAGTGAGGAACCTGAATTCAGTTCTAGTGGTAGCTTCAAGGTAATATCTGCACTTATATCGATATCTTCCGGAGCTACTGCATGTACTCTTGATTCATTTTGATTATTCCCCTGTATACTCTCTCCATCTTCTGGCCGCGTTGTCACTGTACAAACCGGATTTACTAAGCCTACACAGTGATCCATCATACGTGGAAATATCTTCTACGATTAGAGTCTGGGCCATCAGTAACCGTTTTCACTGGCATCCGTGATTAAGCGCAAGCGGTTACCTCAGTCACATTGACCCGATTGTCTTTCTGTGTAACACCATTCGATACAGAATTCTCGAGGCAGGCAGAAAGGTCTAAGCTTATTCCGGTCCAGCGTTTCTCAACACAACTGTGAAAGAAGTTGTGATCTCCCAATCTGTGTTCAGATTCAATTGGCAGGTTCCGGTCACTCGCTATTCCTTGTGACCTTGTCAGCCAGTGCACCTGCATAACCCATCACACGGACAGCGGGACCACGCCGACCGCTCATTTGACCTTGCAACCACCACGTTCGCCTGAAGGATGTGCGCCACTCTCAAAGCTGGAAAAGTACAGAACGCTAACCAACCCACTGGGTCAGGTAACGACACCACGTTGAGTGGCAGAAATGCGAATCCGAGAAGGCTCCAAGCGAAACGCATTTACGGGTTAGGAGAATGTCATCGAGTAGTTAAAATCGGTCTGACTTGCTCGCACAGTTTGGAATGGTATCATACGAAATGTGCAAATGTGTCCGAACAACAGTCACGGGAGCGAAATAGCTTCCAACATGCACTTTGGTTCTGTACTACGTGTTCCACCATCCCACTCGTTAAGTGCTTGCTTATCCTAGCTCAGCAGTGCGACCGGTTAGCCGCAGAAGCCGAGCAGATGATGAATGATAAGGTTAGTTCCATTGAAACGAGTACGCACCAAGGAAACGTAACAGCTTCTAAGCAACAGAATGCTGTAAAATCCGCTTCACTTGAACCGCAATCAACCACGTCCCCATCTCGGTTGTCTTCTCCAACTTTGGTAGAGCGCCGGGCGAAAACTGACCGTACCTACGAGAGTCAAACAGTACTTACGGCAACGAAAATCAGACATCACTCAAAACGTCTGGTTAAACAAATTCCACTAGGAAAGACATCTAGCATTTAAAAGGTTGAAGCAGTCGAACACCAAACCTGGGTACCTGTAGCTCAAATATCTCTTATCGAGACAGAGCCGCCCGGAACTTCAGTTACATATGCAGCGATTGCTATAAAGGTCCACCGAAAGGCCGCCGTTGCCGCCTCTTCCATTGTAAACTCCGTTAACGCGAATAGAGGGACAAACAGCAAACAATCAACACTTGTCAGCAGGTCAGGACAAAGGAGTACCATATCTTGTAGATCAACGAAAAAGGGATCCAACAACAGTGACCGGACTGTTGTATGCTCAAATGTCCCTGAATCTACCGCCATCACATTGCGGGATAAGTTATCGGAAGACCAAGACCAATGGAACTCATTGTACTTGCCGATGAGTGTCAAAGCCAAACCCATAAATTTATTACGAATTACTCATCATCCGAACTCGACCCTAGGAAGAACCCATACTTATTCGAGTAACACTAGAATCCTCCACAGACGTAGAAAACGTGTTGCCCACCGCCAGCGCGCTAAAACACGGATCCTGTGAGATACGCATTTATTCTGATGTCCTTTATAGAGCACGACAATCAAAAGCAACACCGAAGAGGGGCACAGCAAGCAAGACCGCCTAAACATAATCAACATACATGGCGTGCCAGAACATCCTTCTAACCATGTTCAAGAGACCGGAAAACAAGAATTAGGACAGTCGCGGTTCATTCGTGAAACACTTTCTTTGGATACTATTGTGGCACTATCGCTCACCAGGATACCTCTTTCATCGAATTATGGAGGATGTGGCCCTAGAATCCTAAAACTTGTGGTTCAGTCAGAGCAACAAGCAAAGGATGTTTTGGATCGATGGCGGAGAAATCGGAAACGTCTTCCTTCTGAAATTCGGTTATAGGTCGAAGAAGCTTTGCACACCTCAAATATTAAAGCAACTGAAGCAGCAAGCATACCGACGAATGAACAGGAGCGTAACTTGACTGCTGCTTTAATTGACCCTGACATAGGTCTAAACGAATGTTGGGACGCACCTTGGCCGAATCAAGTTGCAAACGAGGTATCATTGACACATAAAAACACGAGTAACTGCCGACCTCCCATCGGTCGGCATTCTCCAACACTTGACACCTTCACCCCTCTATGGGATCCTAGAGACAAAGAAACTGGTCTGCTTGTATACGAATGCTCAGTGTCTTTCTAACAAACTGGCCTGAACTGAAAGATCGTCAAGCTTCCGGGTCGTATGATGTCATTGGTATCACCGAGACATGGTTGCACACGGGAATGACGGATGCTGAAGTTTCGCTACGGGGCATGTCGCTGATCCGAAACGATAGGCTCACAAAAGGAGGAGGGATAATGCTGTATTACCGAAGCGACCTACAGTGCGAAGCTGTGGAGGATACAGACTCGCAGTTCTCCGACTCTCTTTGGTACCGGTTGCAGT